TCATGTAGAACGTATCCAATATTCAATTGATTTGTTAAACGTATTCTATAGATAACTCAAATTTTTCAATATCATTCTCGGTGTTCGGAACGATTGTATCCTTTTAAGCTTACAGTTATCGCGCAACTTTATCTTTCAAACAAAGAAGTAATACAGTGACATTGTTTGCTAAGAAATCCTGTTAATTTAAGGGTTAATTCATGCAACTGACAAATAAATATTTGCCAAAACGAGATACAGATTAGGTAGGAAAAAGAGAAGAAGCGTAACATACATACGCTTGTATTAAACTTTGGAAACTCGAGGTTTTAAAAATTTCAGTTGCAGAGAGAGAGAAAGGGGGAAGAAAAGTAACTATAAAATATTTCAAAACAGGCCCTTCACGACGCAACCTATTTTTTCGCTGCGACGCGATGTCTTTTCTCCCCTTTTGTTGAGCAGCTGGCTATTCAAAAAATCGAAATGAGAGCGAGGAGTAATTAACTTCCTTTCCGTATTGTGCGCCACGTACGCGTGCTCCCAGTCGGAACAAAAATACTGTCGGGCAAACTTATTTTCGTTGTTCTTAAAAAAAAAGGACAGATTTTTTTTTTAACGAATCAACCGGGAATCTATTATTCGATGACCTGAATACAAGATTTAATGTAGTTTACAAGAATCTATATTGACACTCGTAAAAGTGTAATACGATTATAGCAGATTTGTTTCATCGATTTCATTATCGCTTCTTTCGTCCGTGTTTTGTAATCAGTCGTTGCAATTTCAGCGTAGTTTCAGTTTCTATTTAGATTACAATCTACAAAGCAAAATCAAACTGTGAATTGGTTAAAAAAATATTTAATTCGAAACGGAATTCAAGCGGCTATTTCGAGATTGAAGTTAATAGATTTTATGATCTGGACAAAATATTCCAGAACGCAAATTGCATTCCCATTTCTCTCACTTAAATTTGTAAAATGTTTATCTGTTGGTTAAATCGATCCACTCCAACCAATTCATCGCTTTATCTCGTAGAAATAATTTCTACGTAAAACATACATATATATTGAAGCAATTATAATTATTTTCTAAAGCAGCAAGTATGTACTCTGTTACGATTTTCTTCTCACCCTGTCTGTTCTCGCAGTATTACTAGTGTACAGTGTACCTCAAAGACTAAGCAACAACTATTTTTCTCGACGCTAAGCTCTCTTTATGGCGCAAACGCTGCCCTAACTCATTGTAAATTATTTTGTAGCTCTTACACGTGGACGTCTTGTACCTCACCTTGTTCTCACTGTATCATAGAAAAATTCAATTTTTTATAGCAATAATTTTATTACTTCTCCGTGTCAAGAGCTAAAGGATATTGATTCTTAAATTTTTCAAAGCTAAAACGAGTAAAAACAATGTTACTGAATCCGTTGCATTCTAGAATATTCATATCTTCGGTTGCTCGTGTGTAAGCACGGATGCGTTTCAGCATGGAAACTCTAGCGGCTACGTCTTTACTATATTTCCGTTGATGCATATTATTCTTCGTAGGCTTGTTCTCGTCTGGCGGAGCCGTGACTTCGCTCGTGCTTCAGATAGATGCATGTTTATTGCTGCATTAGCGCGAGACCGTAGCAAGGTAAAGCCAGCAGCCGGTAGGATTCCGTTGGTTTACTGGAGGATTTCGTACTCCCCCGCAAAATATCCTACCCGGAAGATCTGCTCGTCCCGTTTTCGCGCAACCGCAAACAGCCTAGCATCTGAAGCTTCCAACAGTAAATCAGGATAACCTATTACAGTTATTGAATTTAATCTCATTGATAATCTCGAATAAACATTGCTACGAAATTCGAATAGAATTTTAATCTTTCGAGTGAAATAAGACTTATTTAGCAGCGTGTACCTTTTTCTTGTATAAGGTACCAGATTACGATATTCCTTTGTAAAATCATTACTGATGGAAATCGCTAGTTTAGAATGTAACGCGTGATGCAAAAACAAAGTACACGAGTCTAGTAGAGAGTCTAAACTGTAGAACCACAGGAGCAAAACAACGGTCCACCACCATGGGTATATTATTCCGCAATGGCGGAACGATTAGTCAGGCCTCCCCACGCACCGCTGACACTCGCACGCGCAACCTGCACATGATTAATAATCATAGCTGACCGTCGCGTCGTTATTGGCGCGGACGTTATCGTTATCTTCCGCCTATTTGCTCGCACTTTTGAGTGACGATCAGTCGTGACGCGACTGTCAGAAATTAATCTGCCCATCCTAAAACGTGATCAAGTATCTACCAATGTATCTCTACCAATTACTATATAGGCTAGCTATCTTTTAGACTTTTGGAGCGCTTGTTTTGACATTCATTCAAAATGTACACTGGCTGAACAAAGTTTTCGAACCTTTGATTTCAGACGTGTCTCGATACAAGGCTAATGAGATTTCGAAAGATTTCATATAACACACTATATATATTGTAGTATTGTGGACAAATGTAGTATTGCGAGAAATCCTAAGTGCCGACAGACCCATCAACCTGTCGTCGGTCTTTCAGTCGAATAGTTACGCGGAAAAAAGGCCTACGTGATTATAGCCACCGACGGTTGCGGAACACGTACGTGATGGGGCTATGAGAAAAGACAAAGGGATGGTAAGGGAGAAAGACGAATTAACAGTCAGTGCGAGTTGAGAAGTCAGCGTTGTGGTCCGCGTGACCAGAGAGAGTTGGAATCGTGGTGACGAGAGTTGTAAATTAACTATTTACTTGTCTTAATTATAACACATTATTGTATTTAGTTTACGTTAAAAAACCATGGTTTCCTGTTTAATCCATTTTAAATAAATAATTATAAAATCCTATAGGCGCAAACTATTTCAACATTCGCACTAAAACTTCTACCTATCTATCTATCTATCTATCTATAAATATACATAGATAGATAGATAGATAAATAAAATATATAGAATAAAATCCTATAATATACCGTACCGTATATATATATATACAGGGTGATTGGTAACTGGTGGTAAAAGCGGAAAGGGGGTAATTCTACGCGAAAAAAGAAGTCGAAAATATAGAACAAACATTTTTTAAAAATTTTTTTTTTAATTTTTCCATCGAGACAACGATCTACAGTGAGATCCGTTATAACGTACCGCACGCGTACCGAGCGAAAATTCAAAGTCGAAAACAAAGCCTCAAACCAAAAATTTTTATTCTATATTTTCGACTTCTTTTTTCGCGTAGAATCACCCCCTTTCCGCTTTTACCACCAGTTACCAATCACCCTGTATATATATATATACGGTACGGTATATTATAGGATTTTATTCTATATATTTTATTTATCTATCTATCTATCTATGTATATTTATAGATAGATAGATAGATAGATAGGTAGAAGTTTTAGTGCGAATGTTGAAATAGTTTGCGCCTTTGTACATAGAAATATTTATTTCCAAGTTCCGTAGAATGGAATGAATTTATGGAACGATCGAGCGTTCGAAACACCTGTCTTGTATACGTGATTCAGAATAAGTTGATCGAGGAAATGCGTTCATAGTGCTTGAACGAATGACCGTGTAGTTGAAAGATTATGTTTCGCGAGGCGAATGCAGCAGAATCGTGATATTTGGTGTGCAGCGACGACATGTGCGACGCATCTCTGCAGAGGGGCGGCAGAAAGGGATGAATTATTCGTTGTCTCCTACACTCTGCACCCCCGGACACTGACACCGCGTTGTCCTGTCTGCCGTGTCGACCCTCTGTCGCTGACACTGTCATCTATAACGTTCGCGAGCATCCACCGACGCGCACGTGTGTCGCTTTTTTCCACCAAGGAACATCAACATTCTTACCCTCTGTTGTAAAAATTACACCACGCCTCTGCAAGCTGTCTGAGTCGAACCTTTGAATGTCATGACGAGCGGCTGCGTTATGACAAAGGTTCTCAGTACTTCTTAGTGACAATCGTTTCTTTTACAGTACGATTGTACGACCAGTTCTTTAATAGCGTCGCGCGCGATAGCTTCCATAGATAAAGGGATAAAGGACTGATTCGAGCTCGTGAAAGATAAATATAAGGAACGTGATGTTTGAAATGTATCATAGTGAAAGCAACAGCGTCCCATCTAAGTAAAATTAAAACGAACGAACGCACGGAAATGACATTGCTCCGTGCAAAATCCAGTTCGGACTAACACGCACGAATTCTAGAATCGTTTTCTCGATTGGAGAAACGTTACGTTCGCGTCTTGATTACCCGCTAGTGACTTGGCCCCGTGATCCTTGTGCATCTCGAGACGATTAAATCCACCATCTATTTCTATCGAAGCTATCGTAAATGAAGAGATCGCGCGTCAGAAGGAGAACACGCTCGGAGTTAGCACAATACAGCTGCGAAGTCGGACGAATGCTTTCGCGAGGGGAAGAAGGGCGAGGGGCTTAGAAAACGAGGGAACAGAGAGGGGCAGAGGGTGATTCGAGCGACGCGTTCCGGGGAGCCAGGAATATCTGAGCTCCGTGGCGCTAATTAATTGGTCCGTAAATTAGCACGCAACAATGCTCGGCCATCGTGTAACCAACGAATCACGGAATTGCCGGCACGCGTGCGAACGTAAGAATACGCGTGATCTACGAGGTATTCCAGGCTGCCTCGTCCTACCTGCAGCCCTCGTTCAATTTTCTCACCCCATCGCAGACTGGGGAGACCACCCTTCGACTTCTCCCGTCCTACGCTTTTTCGATTATCCGTTTTCAGGATGCAGACAGTTTCTATGGGAGGGTTGAGGTAATCCTGAGGTCGCGATAGGAAACGTATAACGGTATATTCGATGATTTCCGCAAATATCTCGAATACGACGCAAAATATTCCGTGAAAAGATTGAAAACTATCTTTAATTTTTTTAATCGTCAAGTTACCGCGTTCTTAAATGTAGGAGCAACTACGTTAATCTTGAGATTACTGTGACTTTCCTGCGTTGAACTTTATCGAATTCAGGTTTTTTAATTTTATTCCTAGATGAATCACCTTTTCCTACATCTGTCGCAACTGAGGTGGTGTTGGATGTAAGTGTTCAAGAAATACTCTCGATGTTTAACAAAAAAGGTTTATTTAACAATCAACAGTCAACAATCAACAGTCAACAGTCAACAGTCAACAGTCAACAATCAACAGTCAACAGTCAACAATCAACAGTCAACAATCAACAGTCAACAATCAACAGTCAACAATCAACAGTCAACAATCAACAGTCAACAATCAACAGTCAACAATCAACAGTCAACAATCAACAGTCAACAATCAACAGTCAACAATCAACAGTCAACAATCAACAGTCAACAATCAACAGTCAACAATCAACAGTCAACAATCAACAGTCAACAATCAACAGTCAACAATCAACAGTCAACAATCAACAGTCAACAATCAACAGTCAACAATCAACAGTCAACAATCAACAGTCAACAATCAACAGTCAACAATCAACAGTCAACAATCAACAGTCAACAATCAACAGTCAACAATCAACAGTCAACAGTCAACAATCAACAATCAACAATTAACAATTAACAGTCAACAGTCAACAATCAAAAATCAACAATCAATAGTCAGCAATCAACAGTCAACAATCAACAGTCAACAATCAACAGTCAACAATCAACAGTCAACAATCAACAGTCAACAATCAACAGCCAACAGTCAACAGTCAACAGCCAACAGTCAACGATCAACAATCAACTATCACGCTTCTCGAATGTATTTGCTTCGCTGTTACGCTAGATCCTTCGCACTTTGCTGTTCGAAACGGAATGAATCTTTTGTCCAAAACAAAACGGATTCTTTTCTTTGTTGCCCTCGATATCCATCCCCACTACGCACGCGGTTGTTAGACGTCCGCGACGGTTGCCGCGTATGCATTCTTCCGAATATTCCGCGGAAGAACCGTAGGGATGTCGATGGTACTTTAGGCATGTCGGCCTTACGCTTTGATGGTATAGTGCTTTGTGTCGCGAAGCCGTCGGAAAGTTCCGTCGTCGAACGTCGCTACAAACTATTACGCGATGAATATAATCTTTTTTTGCGAACGTAATATTCTTCCATACGACTTTTGTACTTCTTTGACGTATAATTGTTGAAATAATTGGAAGAATGTTGATTTACCTCTGTTTCAGACAAGCCAAAAGCATCCTGTATAGCTGTCTCTTTTCTCGATTTGATCGTAGATGTAATCTTCGCTGGTAAGCTACTTCTCTTTAAATTTCATCTATCTTATTTAGAAATTACAAACGAAGCGTGTAAGTACATTGTTCGCGAGAACTTTCATTGTGGACTGTAAAACCACCGAAGACACGGAATAACCAGCGGGGAAACATTTGTGGAGTTTGCGTTTTTTTCGGAGAAATGTACGGACCATCGAGAATTATACTTTGGGAAAGTTGAGCGGTCCGGAGGATCGCGACGGTTAAAAATTAAATGAAAGGCAAACCGAAACAAAACGTGCGACTGTAAATGAACCGAGGAACCGGAATGACTTTCTATTTCGTTTAGAGAGAACGTGCAGCGAACCGACAAGAAAAGATAAATAGATACATAAGTTGAAAAGAACAGGTCGGGAAGAGAGGATGTCCGTAGGCGCGTGCATCAACCGACAGAAAAAACACCCATGTGCTTTTCAGGAGATCTTCCGTCGTAGTTTTCGGTCCTTTACAGCCTCAATTCTCTGTGTATACATACCTGCAACGGCAGTCAGGTTGTAAAGGGTCGCGAATTGAGTGCACCTGTTGCGACTAGTTGCAGCCAACCTACACATGTAATGGGAAACAGAGTGGCAACGTTGTTTCGAGGAGCAGCCACAATTTCCTTTTCGTCTTCGTTTTCGTTTTCTTGCATATTATCACGTTAGCTGATAACTTGTGGGAATTCATAGTCATAAGAGAGAGAGAGAGAGAGAGAGAGAGAGAGGGAGAGAGAGAGAGAGAGAGAGTACAAACTATTGTATATGGTTAGTTGATTATAAATATTTATACATTTATGGGCAATTTAAAGAGCTATAGATTTACATATATGTATAACGTATATATGATTCGTCATAATATTTGATAGGTGAATCGAATTTCTATTTAGCGTAACGCGATATTGAAATCAGCCATATATAGAACAGTTCTCAAATTTTGCCACCCTTAATCGAAATAGATTAACTTAGCATTGGTAGGAGGATTAGGATTGCCTGTATTTATGCTCAGCTAGCGATTATATAGTTACAATATTCATGAGAAATGGCACAGATTAATGTGTATTATTTATTCATAAACTACCGTATTCTATTTCCATCCCGTAAGAAGCTAAAAACCCGCTGCAATAAATAAATCCGTCGATTTCGATCGAATTAATTGCAAAAAGGACAGTGACGAAATAACAGAGTTGGATCGATGGGAATCGCCTTGATAGATTCCCATAGCTGGCAACAAAAGTTCCGCTCCCCAGGGGATTCTCACCACTGCAGCGTTCGCCTGTTCGATTTTTCATAGAGCGCTTTTTCAGTTTATAAGTGCGTTTAGTCATCGAGCGAACAGATAAGCCTTTTACCATGCACGCAAACAGGGCAGGAACGTTTTGAACGCACCGAGTAGAAACGTTTTGTTGGGATTGAACGCGGCGTTATTGACTGGAAGCTTGATAAGCGAGAGGCATCCTCGGAGCTCGCCACCACGAAAATCCATCGGCGATAAAAACTTAATCGTAAATGATCGTGAATCCGGGATACAGACTCATTGACGAGAGCAGAGAAAAAATCATTCCCGATGCAAATTGCTCGATCGAGTTCGATTTGTCCCGATCGTCTACCGTCATCCTGCTATGTATCGATTCGAATCAACTTTTTTAGTTTCGCATAAATTGCATTTTGATCCGGCAACGGCAACATTGTTGCTGTATTTGTTGGAATAGGCCAGGATAGATCTAACTCAGTTTATGTTTCTAAAAAACGGCGTGCTATACTTGTTATACTATAATTCTTGCAACAATTTAAACAAATTTCTGCTTCGTCCATGCATCGAATTATGATATTTTAATAACTATCCTAGTATTTATGAACTAGAGTATACTTATGTAAGATGACTCTCTCGGTAGTTGAAATTTCCAGTAGATAAAAATCGTAAGGAGTATCGATCGACGACAGGAAATTGTTGGATCTGCCAGTAAAACTTCCTTGACTCGATACCGTGTCCAACTGCGGTCGTTGTCTGGCCATTAGCGAGCACCGGGCTTTTTCTCCTTTTTGTCGCTTCTGTTGGCCGTTTTTACGCCGACATGACACCACCAGTTCGGAAGCTCATAAGGTTTCTTGCTCGTTTCTGTCGACATTTCGTGCTGCTGAGCTAACGATTTCTCCCGGATGAAAATACGCTCCGATCTTTCCAACGAGTATGCATCGAGCGGAACCTTCCCGAATCGTGGCTAAATTGATCGGTTTTTTTGCCAATCCTATTTCGTATTACGGGCTATGGTTCTGGCTATTTGCTGGCTAGAATCGTTCGCAGTAAATAAGAAAGTGGCGGTGATGTCGCGAATCGCTAGTTCGCAAGGTCGCGATAAAGCACGCGAATTCCTCGTTCTTCAGTTCGTCTGCTGGCTCGCGCAGCCAACACGATGGCTGATCATTTATTAAAAGCTCGTTCGCGAGTCTACCGCGCGTGGAATCACGGACTATGGTCTTTCTGCCAACGGTAGTCGCCACTATTATTAGCGTCCACGTGCATGACAATGAGACGAGGCGCGTTCCTGTTAAGCTTGAGATGGTCAATTCTCCGAGCGATTCCGCTTCGATTTTACATACAGTGGCTTTCGAACTTATTTCAACGCCTGTATAAACTTTTTCGATTGTATCGGGTGTTTATATAATTTTCCGTGTCTCAAATTTTTCTGCATAAATTGCAGAGATGTAATCGATAAGTGAAAATGGGAAAGAACCGTTACATGATGTTTCGCAATAAACGTTTATTGGAAAGTTATGAGCAAATATTGAGCGCAACACGGAATACGTGTATACCAATTCATCGTTAAATTAACGGCAGCGTAGTACTTGTATACATAATAAATTGACTGTAGTATAGCGCGATGAAACTTAGTTGCTCGCTGATATTCAACAAAATTCTCAAAGGACTTGAAATATAATAAATTCCATATTACATCGACGTCGAGCCTGGATCAACGTATCATTGTGATATTCTGAAATGAAAATTTAAGCACTTCCGCGATTGCTTACGGTACGAATAGAATAAAATAAATTAACTACGACAGACTTTTCATGTTCTGTAATAAACAGTCCATATTTCAATCTGCACTTGATATTTATTTATAATACGTTGTAATAAAATAATTGCAACAGAACGTCGTATACTCTTTTTCCTTGAAAAATTGAAAATACCAATGGAAACGCGCTTGAGGAGGAAAGAGAAGATTCTGTTTTATGATTTCGCGATTGCAGTGAATAAGTGCAAATAAGATGCGAAAAGAAATTTCGCGTGAAATAACGTATCTACATTCGGTTGTGTTTGTCTGATTCGAAGCCACAAACTCTCCAACTCTAAAGCCGATATAAATCGCGTACGTGTGATGAAATTAGATTACAGCCGTGACTCTAAAGTTGGCCGAATTCCGTACTAGCGAATCGAATTCGAACTAGTAACAAATGGTTTTCGGCTAGGACGTGGATCGAAGAATTTTTGATGTTCGATAGAAACGAGAATAGACGTTCGCCACGCTGCGAGGTCGATTAACTAATACGCTTATCTTCTTACCTGATGATTTATTAATCTCACGTCACACCTCGATAAATCGTTCCATTCGAAACCATCCCACGTTGTACGTATAAGGCTTTTACATTTCGACTTCTGGTAAAAATATTTATTTACTTTGCATTCTTTTCGTATGCGATTAATTGCGTTCTGCAACTTTCTCCCAGCTATAAAAGTTTACTACTAATTGCGAGTGAGCTCGAGTTAAATTTTTACCTGAACTATTTAATTTTAAAGCCTCGATTCTATATATTTGGGTGATAAATTCCATTGATTGCCTTTAAACATATAAAGTATAGAATGCAAGTTGATTCACTCGGTATCTGGAGGAAAAAGCAAAACGATATTTATACAACTCGCGTCGTTTTGTTTGATGTACCTACAGATACGCTGAATGTCTTTTAACTGATGCGTTTATTTCGTACTAGGTGCCCGGTTGCGTGAACTGGTTTATCGATCCGTTATCGAATGTCAATAAGTAGAGTGATTTATGCACGGGTGTCGGACAACATTTGCGATTGCATTTGCTTGCATCGTTTCATCAACAGGACGAAAAGAGGGGTGCGATCTGCAAATTAATAGTTTGTCCAGTTAATTAGACTTTGTGATCGATTTGTTTCTTTAATATTTATCGTACCAAGATTTTCCTAAAGGCTGTTGTTTTCTGCGAATCTCGGAATGAACGGATTTGCTAATTTTATTCCTTGTTCCAAGGTACATCTTTTTCTACGATTTTACCAGGGAAATGATCGTACTTTTACGGTTTTATCGTCGACGATAATATTCCAGAGAACATATCGTTATCTCGTCCGTTTTCCCTACCGGTTTGCTAGTTTCCCGAGATGTTCTGGAATCATAGCGAATCAATACCAACGGAATGTTCCACCCACGTTCAAGCAGCGCGCGCTGGAATGCAATATCTCACTGTTGCGTTATATTAAATAAGTTAAATTACACCCGTTAACAAGCCGATTGCCCGCAAATTAATGTCATCGCGTTCGATGCATCTATCCAACCGTTCTTTGGGGCAAACGACGTTACGCCGCTTTCCATTGATACTCATTTTCCGATTAATTAATAATAATTTTGCAAGATTTCAGCCGCGTTTCCGTTCAATTCTTTCCAACGATTTTTAAATCTATTTCTTACTTTTGGACAAAGCAGCGAATTTACGAACTGAAGCTTTAAACAAATACATTGATCGATCTAATCACAGCTAGGACTATACGCATGTTCTGAACGCGTGTTCAGTTAGCAAACTCTATTCATAACTTGATATCTCGAACTGTTGCTTACAATTTTCAATTAAAATCACGCTGTGTTAACACTCTATTATTTTATACCATGTAGTAATGATTTTCTCTAGTAAAAGTTCACTTGTATCCCTGAAAGAAAAATTAGCCCGAACAGCGAGCCGATGTTTCTAGCTGCTAACGAAAACTATTAGGAGCTATTTTAAGGCACTAATCTTGATATTCGTAAAATACGATATAAATTACCAAAGACGAACGTAACTTGGGAAAACATTAATGGACATAATGACGTCCGATAACACGTAGTTCAGAGTCACGACGTTATGCTTTTCAAACGTTCATCGCTCCTTTGATCCTCTCTCTCTCCGTTTCGATGACCCAAACACGTGTACTTTCAGGCCTGACTAATTTCACAAGCTCGTTATACGTATCTCTTGCACTAAACATATTGTAGCAAGAGACGTTACATAGTTGCACGTGTCGGCGAATTGCAATCGATCGAGTATCGATCGTGCAGCGATAAAAAAGCTACTCTCAGACTTGGCTGAAAACATTAACCGCAGCTAACGCGTTACTCGACGAGTAAAGACTGCCACCGCGCACTCTGCTGTGTATCGACTCGCGGTATGGTCCGATTAACGTGACGGTGCATCCTTCCCATAAATACACACCGACACCAGGATGGTTAGCGAGACGCCGATGCGGTCGCCTTAAATTTGCCAACTAACGTTACCTTAAATTTTCCCGTCTCCCGGGAGCTTAGAGTGCTGGTCTACATCGTGTTTCTTGTTTATCGAATGGCCCGTTTGCCGCGACGATTAATTCGTTGGCTCGTGTCGCGGTTTTGTACCACGGAACGTGTCGATATTCTACGAGCTTCGGGCAGAAGCTTTTCTCCACTCTGTGCCACCACGCTTCGTCTTTCTCGCGTTCTTTCATTTTTAATGCTGTGTTTTAATCGTTATCCATAATCGGTGGCTATCCGTAACTTTACGTTCGTTTATTTTCAATGTCGGATTTTAATTGCGTGTAAATTAACGATCTTGTTTCGCAACAGCGCGAAGTTGGGCTAAAAATTTCTATTGAAAGACGGTTTATAAGATACTTAAAGTATACTTCACGTTACGGTGTGGATATATAACGTGGCTTTAATTGTAGCGCGATGCGCTTTATACGATCGATTCTCGGTAACCAAGCCGTTTGCTGCGTCAGCAGCTCCATTGAGTCTTCGGGTAAATAGCAATGTTTCTGCCACTTTTACGATACATCAGCGTATTTTCAGTAATAAAATGTCGCAAATGTATGTACGTGTTTGTCGAATTAAAATAGTTAATTTAAGTTCTAACTTCTTGCATCGTTACGTAGAGGATGTGCATAAACTCGCTGCAAATACGCGTGCATTGATTAAAGTCACATTGAATTTTGTTTAGCGGCAACTACATTGTTATCGCGTTTGCTCGTTACAAGTACACGATCCAAAGTTTAATCTAAATCCTACTTAGGCCGCGTTCGCGTAAATACACCGGTCGTCTCGTAATCAGCACAGAGTTGAATAATATCTTTCGAACAATACGCTGCAAAAGCGACTAATGCGCCAAACAAACTTTGCTCGCACGCGTTAAATTCGAAATATGCACCTCGCTGAAGCGACAGTCGATAGAAAATATCTGAAATTTTCAAAGAAAGTTTATATATCCGATTGATTCTACGAAAGAGGAATTGATTCTCCCGCCATCCTATTCAACGACCTATTCAAAATGGTATACCATTTTTGTCGTATTATATTCACTTCCACGTACAGTCACTAGGTATTTCATACTCTATGATTTAGTACTATGAGTTACGTATTATCTACTTATTACTTTGCTCGTAACGTTGCATAACAGAATTGTTGGTTAAAACCATGATAACTCTCGACGTGACGCTATCGCCATACGTGTTAACTATTAGCGCGTGATATACATATTTATTTAAGTATTTTTCCCATTACCTTACTAATATTCAAAGTTATCGAGTCTTCTTACAAACATAACCCAAATTCCGACGCGCAATTTACTAAACTCCAACGTTGACAAGCAATTAAATCCAACAGAAGATCGACGACGTTAGTCGCACCGTTTAGAAATTCATTGTGCCACTACCATGGCCGAACGACAGCACGCGAGAAACAAATTACTCAGAACGAGCTTGACCCGAAACGAAACTGTCGCAGGACAGGTGTGAATCAATGGATGAAAAATAAAAGAGGGAAGAGCTTTCGTCGCTAGCGAGAGGGTTGCTCGGTTATATCGTCCTTGAGGACGCAACGTGGTATGTGCAAGTGGTTCGCGCGGCCCGACGGCCGGCCCGATCAGCGTGACACGGTGCATCGTCTGCGTAAATAGACGTCGAGGTGG